GTAATTATGGTATTAAAAGTACTTGTTTCTAATACTCATCTTTCACATCTTTGCTAATACACATCTTTTTTAGGACTTTTCTGAGACAATTTGATGGTTTTTACATTTTCTCCGTTAAACAGCTTTATCTGCATTTTAGTTGTTTGTTTCTTTAGATTCTGCACTATATAACATAACGTTAACACAAAAGGAAAAAATAAAACTAAAAAAGACTAGATTTATTTTTAAATTCAAAGCCGAAAAAGTTCAATCCTTGAAGTAGCATAGGATCCCATCTCAGGCACAGGGCCAGCACAGACGGGTGACAAAACAGAAAGGATTTTAATGCATTCATTTTCTCAGGAAATATATTATTAACCTTTAACACGTTACATTTTAGTACGCTTACTATTTTTAGGGAGGAAAACGTTTAATTTAGGTCCCTTTTTATAAAGTAAAATCGAGGGCAACCAGGATGTACATCTGGCTGCACAAATGAGATGGTACGGATCGGGTAGTGACAGAAAGCACTTCCTGCACAGTCCTGCAACAATGAACATTGAAAAAACAAACTTTAAAGGTCATGAAAGAAATGTAACTCATTAGTGAAACATCTACATGCTTCTTGTTAAAAAGAACATTTTAAATAAAAGTGCAAACACAATATTGGTTCAGCCTTAAGGCAGACAAACATTACCTTGAATCAGTATATCTATATAAAAAAAAAAGAGCTGTGCAATTGCACAGAAATATAAAACAAGCTCTTGGAGCATTACTGGAAGAAAATAATTTACTAATAATTCATGCCACTGTCAGCTTTGCAAGGCCACTGGTGTTTATGCTCTCACTCAGTGAACAATGGCAGAGAAAAGAAGACCTCTCAAGAAAGCCGCATAACAGAAAGAATAAACTCACTTATAATGGCACAAAATATTTGAAGGACAGACTAAGAAAATAGCAGGGAAAAAACTGTGAAAAACTAAGTGCTAAGTCATTTATGTTGTTGCTGTAGTGATTCTTCAGGTGAGACCTTTGAGAGCAGAAAAACGAAAGGTCACTGCAAACCCTGATGGCTACTAATTACAGTCAGACACACAAGGGCAACCTTTATATTTGTTTGTGTATGTATGTGTGTGAGGGTCTAAGTAACAATGTGACCTTCTACAGATGAAACTCTTAGGCCCGATTTACAAAAGGTGATCCATGGAAACAGGATATTTTTTAAGTTTCTGATAACATGTTTTAACTACAATCTCTGTACAGACCGCAGCAGCAGGAATGTGAAAATGGTGCAGCTCCCCTGTCACTAGTTGGAGGTATTTTATTTGAAACTCAACATGCAAACACTTAATGCCGGAAAAAAAAAAACTAAAATAGAATCAAAAACAGGGGACAAATTAGCACTTATATGGAAAAACATTGTTAGACCCAAAGGAGTCAACCAACAAGAAAGTACTCGGTTATCTGCAATTGTTTCTGACTTTGATTGGTTATAAACTGGTTGGCATTAGTTATGTTGTGCAAACAAGCATCAGTTTCTGCTGATTTTAGTCATATTATACATATGCTAGGGCTTCCCCACATAGGATGATTCTCTTTTTGTGTGACAATGCGGACAGGGACTGTCACATTATTTAATAAAAAAAGATTTTAAAAAACGTGCCGTTGTCATGCAGAGAAGCAGTAAAGCTGCAGCAACATTTTTCAATTTTAAAATCAAAATGCCTTGAACAGAATATGTAATTTAAAAATTCAAGTTATTTTCATCTTTAAACATGAAGTATTTAACAGGATATCCTGTTCAATGGAGCATGCAAAGCATGTACAAGGTTCATTCAAGCTGTGAGAGATCAAGAGAAAGCAAGACTTCAGTAGATAAAAGGAGAGCTGACCGGTAATTTTGTCTAGTTTTATTCTTCTGAGTGTCCTACTTTTGTCTGTTTCAAAACATTCTAAAATGCTTAATCCTGTTTAATAGGACAAACACTAGGGCTGCAACTGACAATTATTTGCAAATCAATTCATCTGTTGTATATTTTTTCGATTAATCAGTGAATTATTAGATAGCAAAAGGTTCCTTAAAATTTTTACAAAATGAAACCAGGTGAAACTAAAACTTTTCTACTTGAGGAGTTCTGCATAGAACATACTGACAGATGAAAAAACGTTTCTATCTTAAATGCAAAATATTTACTTTTATTACAATTTTGGCATAATTGCTGCTCAAGATGGGTCAATCTGTCAACTAAAGGCATTTTTTGACTCTCTACACTCCAGTTAACAATTCATTGATTACTAAACTAGTTGATGATTATTTCAATAATCGGTTAATCACCATTAATTTGTAATCGGTGTTCCTCTGTCAACATGTAGAAAAATCAATCACAGTCAGTCTACAATGAAGATGTTACATTTTGGCAACATGGGACAAAGAGGGAGTCACATTTTTAAAGGAAACAAAGCTGCTGTGAAGCCTAAAAGTGGAAGATATGGTAAAGGAAGATTTTTTTTTTGTGCTTTTTACTTAGCAAGATCCAAAACGCTGCATTATTGAAGTCGTAGCATACGGTCCAAATGTTTTAACCTCTTAATATTCACCTCATTTTGGGAAATTCTTGCCTATTTTGCATACCCAATGGAAAAGCAAATAGTTAAGGAACTGTAAGCCCAAATTACATGTGGGATACATTATTTGAAAGCTAACACCCTCTAGTTGCTGAATATATACATGAAAATAGTGTGAGTAAAATACCCAAGCTGCATCAGTTCAAACAAGACTCAAAGTTGTTGTTTTTTAATTCTCGAAAATAGTAGGTATTTTTTGAACAGCAGTTATAAAGACATGCTTGCTTTTTGGGGGCTGCTTTGTCATGGTACATTTTACCATGCTGCTATATCTGTATTAATTGTGCTATATCCATAAAATGAGCTAGGTGGTTGAATTGTGGAGAATCTAAGCTTTTCAACGATGTCTAAAATGTTTAAGTATAATATCCTTTCCGCAGATTACAGAGGTGTGAACTCTTGCAGCTTTAAAATCTAAATAGATGGACGGACTTTTTCTAAAATGAGAGTTAGAGGTGCATGTCAGATTACTTTGTTTTTGTTTCAGTCCAATGTGATTATGATTTCTGCTGTCTCATGAAGGATTTTACTCCCATTTGTTACATAAGAGTGCATCTGAGTGAGCAGATGTGCCCGTGTATGTGCTATTTACTGATCCGATTGTGTTACGAGCAAATTAGATAACAGAAGTTCTTTCGTGGATTCATTGTCACGGTTTGGCAAACAAGCCATGAACGTTTTTGATTCGCTAACTCAATTCAGACGTGTGTTATCATTTTTAAAGGTTAGGGTTTATCCTTGTGTTACAATATGGAGCAACTGTAACAAAAAAGCAAGAGTTGAACTTTTTAAGGTCTGTTTTGCGGCAGCAATGTCCTACACATTTCAGCTGTGGCTTTTTTTTTAAGTGCTATTAAAGTGGGTATGGTATGTTCAAATCATATTTGATCTGGTAACGTTCTTGCTAAGGCACGTCATTTGTGACACCCTTTTTGATTAAAAAATCTCTCGTCATCATGTCCACCCTCTCAACCCCATCCCTGGAGGGGAGGGTTGAAAGGACAGGATGATGTACGGTTGTGCTGTGAGCAAACATGATCCTTTGGAGCTGTAAAACTATGTTTCTGAAAGCGATAGAGCATCTGTCCAGCATTTTTTTCAAAACTTGAAGCATGCATGAATGCATGTATGAGCAGTGGACCAAATGTTTGCATTCATCTTAAAGCTGTGACAACACCACATTTAACCCATCAATCATCTGCAAAAAGGAAGTTTACCACAAATGGGAAAAAGAGAGAGAGAGCAAAAGAGTCCGGCTGCTCCTGTGGGATTTATTTATGACCCAATCAGATCTGGGCCGTTCTCAATTCAATGAAAAATCAATCCATGCATTCAAGCAGACACTGAAAGTATTAAACAGATATGTCTTATTTGACCCTTTTCCTCATATTTCAATTTATCTCTGTCTGGTTTTAAAACAAAGCAGCTGTAGCTGCTGTATTTCCAAGCAGGAAGTGGTATACACACTCAAGTGTTTTCCAAAAGGAGAGTGTGTCGGGAGAGATAGTGCAAGGGTGTGCACCAGCTGCAGTGGACATGGACTGAAACAGCTGGATGGTGCTAACAGAGCAATGCTTATTCTCTACCAGAACACCCCCCAAAACACACACACACAGTTGGGTTTTCATGACATATGGAAGCATTTCATTGACTTGCATTCATTTTATAGGCCTAGCCCAGAACCTTACTCTAACCCTATTACCAACATATACCTAATCCCAAATCACAGGACAGAACTTAAGCATATGGGGACCAGTTGATTGTCCCAATATGTAGGATATTTTACAAAATACTGCACCCACATTGTAGGTAAAACACATCCACCCACACACACAAGTTTGTATTTCTATCCATATTAAGACTTTACATTGACTTAAATTAATTTTAGTTATTGCGTTAACACCTATCTCTAATCCTTACCAGTATATTCCTAAAACTAACTAGTTAATTTACACCATACATATAAACTGACTGCCTAACATTAAATATAGGGGTCAACCATATTAGGACCGGCCTTTGGTCCCCACAAGGTTATTACATTTATCAAAGTTGGTCCTAAATAGTAGCCTACACACAGGGGTAAAAGAAGTGAATAACATCCTGGGGAAAGTTGGACAGTTTTGAAAAGGATCTTTTTTTTTTTTTTTTTTATACAGGATTCTGACTTCTGACGTGCACGCGCACAGGCATATATATATATATATACACGCACTAATCATGTGTCAGAGCATCTATCATTTAAACATCTAGAAACTTTGCAAGTTTAGTGATTTAGTTAATGCACAAAATAAGACTGCGAGAAAAAGAACAAAACAAAACAAAACAAAAAACCTCCTCCTGCAATAAATAAATAAATCAATTTAAAAAAGGACCCACTAAATCAGCGCGACACTCACCCGAGTCAAATTCTTTACTCGCAATCCGAACAGCGCTTCTTGCAAAAAACAAACGTCCTGAGTGGATCTCTGGTGGAAAGAAACAACTTTTCTTCAATCACTTACTCGCCAAAACCAACTCAGTCCTCCTTCAATCCTCTGCGTCTGTTTCTCGTCACCAGAACCCATCCAACCATACAGCAACCCTCATTATTCGCAACTGCGCTCGCATATGGAGTATGTTCGTTTCCGTCACCGTAAGAGCCCGATATAATGCTCTGCTCTGAAAGGCGGGCGGCGCTCTCTGGCTGCTTCTCGTCCACAAAGGCAGCGTTTGAGACAGAGGAAGGAAGGGCATGGGCTCGGGAAGAGGGGAGGGGGACCTTATGTCTTTCAGCTGCATACAGTGGCATTTTATGGCTTTTTCTAAGCATCAGAGCTGAATGCACACTGCTTTGTAAACGTCTAATGCTTTTGCATTAAGATTTAAAATCATTGTAAAGCTTTAGGGTTTCTATGTAATGTTGGAATGGAAATTTAGTTGAGGATCTTAAGACAAGAGCATGGTGTTACATGTAAAATATGTATAACCCAGTGAGATGTATCCCGTCCACTGAGTTCTATGTAAAGAAGAATCAAAACAGTATTTTACTTTTAACTTAAAAGTAAGCCTGGGTGTCAACAAACCAGAGGAAACTAGAATAAATTGCAGATTGTTAGAATCTATTTTTTTTTGCTTAGGCAGATAGAGTTAAACTAATTCAGCTTCAAGATTGAGCCACATGAATAAAAATTTCAAGCCTTGATCGTGAAGCATTATGACTAAAAATTGCATTACTTCATAGTAAAAACACCCATGCATGCCATTAGAGTACACTCCTGCCTGCATGATTTGTCTATTAAAGACAATCTATGGCTAAGCTTCATTTACCTAATTAATAAGAAGAAAGAAGAGCTCTGTTTTCATGAGGTCTTAGTTTGCAAAACAATAAGAATAAAAATCTGCAACAGCTGACAAAGGTTGTGTGTCACATCAAAGTGTATCATTTTTATATAGTTCTTCGATTTTAAGTAAATGTGCGCAAAAAAAACAGCAGGGGTTACAGTTTGGTTCAGACTTTTGTCATGTTTTACTTATATTCTCTTAGAATGAATTATAAATTAATGGCTCATGCCCACTATTTACCATAGTTTAGCATGAAACCTCTGCTGCTGCCTCAGTTATTAAAAAATATACCCCAATAGAACCCATATTCAAATATACTGTTTGATCTGGTTTCAGGGGATTGCTCCTGCTTCTTTTTAGTGCTCTTTTTTATTCTATATGCAAATAAAGAAATTCATCTGAAATTACATACAAAGCAGACATTATTGTAATTATTTGCACTTTTAGGGTGAAAATAAAATCCAGGTAAGCTGGAATAAAAATAGAATGTGTTCTTTATGTTTTGATAGACTCCAGCTTACGCTTCACCCAGTGCTTCCTATGTTTGTGCTGCCTCAGGAGGAGAATGCTCAGAAATCTTGCCACTGATGAACTCTGGCTGACCTCCTCTTCTGTATGTATACTAGAGAGCAATTTATTTTGAGTACCAATAACAATAGTAATCCCCCACTTTCCTCCTTCTCCTCATCTCCCTGTTTTTCTTGACTCAAATCTTTTTTTTTCTTTCACTTCCCTGTACCTTTTATGCTGGCTAATCCTAACTCGACATCCTGCCCTCCCTCTTGTCTCGATCCCCTTCTCCTTTAAATCATCACCACGGTTCATTTCAACTTCAAGCTTTGGCAGGCTGGAACGGTAATATGATTTCCAGCTGAAATGAAACGTGCAAAATGTGCTCAACCCTCTCCTCATCCCTAGTGGGCTCAAGTTTATGTCCAATTCACTGGACTGGGGTGAATACAAATATTTCTTCTGTCTATTAATCTAAATGAATACATATTTGAATCAAATATTTGCTTTATGCTATTTTAGCAGGTTGAAATTGTATTCCAGCATTACAGGATATTCTCCAGTTATCTTCTCTCAAAATGTTAAGGACCATGTTTGCAGTGTTGCAAAGCAGTCAGAGCTCACTCCTCCGAGCCAAGTAGTGTATTGTAAAATAAGTCTTTGCTCTTGAAAACAACAGTGGGTTGTGCGGGGCTAGGTTGTTTAGAGAGAGGTCTGCTCATGGCTTACATGGTGGGGCAGTTGTTAGCAGGAAGAAGGTCCTCTTTTTGATCCCAGCCGCAAGTCTTTCTTTCATATATTTGTAGATTATGTCCTCATACTGCGGAGTCCTCACAGCAAAAGCATATTTTATATGCTTAGTTAATTATATGTTTAGTTAATTTATCCAAACAGCTTTACAATAGTGTAAGTAAAAAAGTTAAATTTGATTTATATGTCATCTTTCCCAGTTTAGCAAAAGACATACGAGTAACAAAGCAAAAATAAAGCACATAATCAATTAAAACCTGTCTGTACAATTTTGATTTAATTTGCTTTTTGAAATGATCAATAGATTTGACATGCCGTAGAAATTCTAAACTTTGCTAGCCTCACTGGGTAACACTGCTGCTTTGCAGCAAGAAGGTTTGGGGTTCACTTCCAAGGCCAAGATCTTTCTGCATTGAGTTTGCATGTTCTCCTTGTGCATGCGTGGGTTCTCTTCTGGTACTACGGCTTCCTCCCACTGTCCAAATACCTCCACAGACATTTAGGGTAATTGTCTTCTCTAAATTCTCCTTAGGTGTGAGTGTATGTGTGAATGGTTGTTTGTCTCTGGGTTGCCCTTCGATGGACTGGCAACCTGTCTAGGGTGTACCCTGCCTCTCGCCTATTGACAGCTGGAGATAGGCACCACCACCCCTCACGATCCCTGCAGGGATAAGCATGACAAAAATGGATGGATGGGTGCTAGCCTGAAATGCCTTATCCCCACAGGTCTGAAAGGAGACATAAGTTATAAATAACACCTAGTTTTTCAATTTAGAACAGCACACAAAAAAGATATCACCCCCACCCCTACTTTTCACAGAGTGCAGAGCAGGAGGATGATTTGGGTGCAAGGTTAGGGAGGGTGTTTCTGTCTACTTCTCTTATTAAATTCCATATTTTCAGGCAGCTGTTTTTTTTTTAGCCAACATGAAATACCAAATGCTGTGCTCTGTTTTTGAAGTAGTTCTGTGGTGAATACCTCTAACTGGTAAGGACAATGGATCCACAGCAGAAGAGCGTCTACGGTCGGCTATCCGAACAGTGCTGGCAGCTAGAAAACAGATGCTTCCTAGCTTCAATTCATTTAGCATAGGGACCTCCTGATGTTCCTAATGGCCACTGGGAAATACGCTGCTGCCCATAGTTCTTTTTGTGAGAGGACATACAGGCACCACCTCACAGAGTTCAATAAAAATGTCTTATTTACTACAAAGTATTGATTCAAAGGACTGAAATAGTTGCACTTCATTTTGATTTTTCGGGGAAAAAACAGAATCTCAGTAAAACAAACAGTTTTTTTGTGTTTGTTAATAAAACACAAAACAAAGATAAAGACGATGTATTAATACCTTTGGGAGCCATTGTACAGAGATGCATTATGCCCCTGCTGTGTAACATATCTCTAGCTGTTACAGCTCCATAAAATAAGATATAACCGACTAATCGACCATTCTTCACAGTCACGCCTCTACAGAAACACTATACTGCCAGTCTTTGTTTCCAATCCGCTTTGCTATGTCTACTGAAAGGCTAAAAGCTCTGATCGTATGACTCACACATGCTTTGTCCCCTCAGGGTCTTCATCCAATGCCAGACACCTGACCAACAGTCGACCCTCAGCCTCAACCTAATCCAGAAATATCAAAGGGCTTCTGGCGGTACCTGTGATTTATTCACAAGAAAGTAAAACATTCCTCTGATGGACTTTAGTTTTAGTGAGTTTCGGAAAAAAAAAAACTTAAGTACAGCTCACTTTTCCCTCCTTTATTAGTTCAGGAGTTTTTCAAGTGGATTAATTTAATGTGAAATCTTTACAAAACTTGGTAAGCAAAACAGAACCTTTGTTTTGTCTGTTCAAAACACATCAAAAATTACAACTTTTCTGCTAAGTTCCCAGCTTAAGTTTTGTTGCAAGCCTAGCAAAATAAGCACAGTTATTTGCATATTTGTGTAATGATCAAATAATTAAAGGCCAGCATAGCATGACTCATTTCATTCACTCAGATTCCGGCTCAGCCAATTTGAGCTTGTCCAGTATTAAATACTTTATCTTAAAGCAGAATCAGCATGGCTGAAGAGGAGAGAAATGGGGCAGAAAACTCTTCATCTCTTTTTTGAAGCTTCTATCAGCTCAGAATTTCCCATCTCTTTGGTGTCAAGGTTGTCTTGTAAATAGATGTGAATGCTTAGCTTCTGTCTGATTACGGAAATATATCCGCTTTCACTACAGTCGGAGATCTCTCACTACCCGCTCATTGAAGATGATTATTTAATACCATGATTCCACACATGCTCATTAGCAGAGGCTCTGTGCAACAAAAGCTCTGCATACGTAATGTTTTCAGTTGCCAGCCACCACTTTGATCTTATTTCTTTGTCCTCTCAAACACTCTCAAATGCTTTAAAGGCTATTCTGTATGCTCCTCATGCCCTGCTGAAATGGCACTACAACTGAACTCTGACCCAAAAAGATGCATGCAGTAGAAGTATTATCCTCACTAAGGTTATTTATACATTACATGCAGATTGTACTGTAAGTACAATCTCATAAGCACTTTCCTAAATCACATGAAACTTAGCTTTTATCAACCTTTACCAATATTATTTATTGTTGCTAAAAGCTAGAATTATTATTATTGATGTTTATTTACATCCATTTTCCGTCACGCTTATCTGAAGTGGGTCGCGAGGGGTGCTGCTGCCTATGTCCAGCTGTCAGTGTGCGACAGGCAGGGCACACTTTGGACAGGTCGCCAGTCTATCGCAGGGCAACACAGAGAAAAATAGTCCAAACAACCATTCATACCCACACTCACACCCAAGGAGAATTTGGAGAATCCAATGAACCTAACAGTCATGTTTTTGGACTGTGGGAGGAAGCCGGAGTACCTGGACAGAACCAAGGCATTGCAAACTCAATACAGAAATATCTTGGGCCGGGAATTGAACTCCGAACCTTCTTGCTGCACCCACTGCGCCACTGAGCTACTGTCAAATCCATTGATTAT